GGCTAATTTTGAAGAGGGCAAAAAAGAAGAAGGAGCGGGGAGCGGGATAACTCGCACAATAACTCGATTGGAAACACTTGTTTCGGGAGCATAGGAGAAAATGACAACAAGAGAGAGGGGGGCTGGATGCAAATTTAATACATACAGGAAGGGGGGGCATTACTTTTTCATTCCTTTTTGCAAACTGGAAAAGTAAAGGAAGACTAAAACTGACAAATTTATCAACTCTAAGGTGTTCTTATCTATGTACTGTTGTTGTCCTATCTGTCATGCAGTAGGAAAGGAATGCCTCTGTTATATATGTTAGAACAGTGCTACTTTATTTGCACTAGGATTTAATAAAAACAGGAATTTTTAATTAAAAGTTGTCAAAGTAGCACTATAATGTTATTCAGCACACATGGCATCATAGCAGAATGACAAACCCAACTGTTGAAATTTCAATAGCAATACAAATTCAAAGTATGGTAGATAAAACATGTAAAAGATGTAAAACCGCTTACCAACGAGCTGCTGAAAATGTATCTAAAGAAAAATGGTCTTAAGATAAGTGGAAGGAAGGCTGAGTTGATTGATCGAGTTCTCACCCAGGCACGCGGGAACCTTAGTGCCAGAGATGCTGTAGAAGATGAGGAATCTCCCAATTCATGCGAAGACGACGCAAGCTCAGAGTCCAGTGATTCTGATGACTCTTCAAATGACTGTTATCACATTTCTATATTCTTTTACAATAATTTCACAGCTAAAAGAAACAAGGCGAAAGTGATAAGTCTCCAATGGAAAAAAAAAACACATAACAGAGGAAAGTACATCAGGGCGTTCGTCTTTCACTTACATCAGGAATCAAAGAGCTCGGCATAAAAATCATCGCAAAGATAACTTCAAGAATGTTTCTTACTATGATTTTGCACTGGCTTTCGTGAAAGAAGGGTTATAAACTATTTTGCAGGTTTTCATCAGTGACAACAGCGTTTATCTAACTTGACACTGTTAATTGGAACATTTATAGTGCTTCAAAAATTTGCGGCAGTCATTCTGATCGTCCATTGACTACATTGAGTACTTTAGACAAGAAATTTAGTTGTAACATTTAGCTTTAAGATCCATGAAAAGGTTTTAAAAAATTATTTTTATTCGTTTAAAAAAGTTTTAATCGGCATTATTCAGCTTTCTAAACTAATGAGGTTTTAGGACAATAAATTGCAAAATTAAAAACCCAGTCTCTTATCTGCCCACCTTTTTAATCGGTATCCAGGTCACAATTGAATTTGACTGGAATCTCAAGTTGGATTCTAGATGATGTTCTTTCAAAATAATTTAACAAATCCCATAATTTCAAAAATTTAATTTTGATGACGTCATCACTTTAGAACTCTGTTGCGGATAACTATACTGCGCAAGCATGAAAACCATACCGGAAAGATTAATTCATTAATTGTTGTGATGTGCTTACACTTTTCCACATAAAGCACAACCTGTTTTTTCATCTAATCCATCACGTTCTTATCATTAAAATGATAAATAATAAATTTCTTGTACACCTGAGTGTTCAGTTGTAATTTCCATTGGTGTAGGAAAAATTGGAAGAACTAAAAGAGTTACAAAGTTTAACTTATGGAAATACAATAGAACGTCTTATTGCTTCCCTTTGTCTAAAACCATACTTTATTCAATATATTCAGGAGTATATTGTGTGAAAGAGCCAGCCGACAACAACAACAAAAATAGTGGAGCGTGGGGGGAGGGGATCTTAGTGTGGAATGGCCGTGGAATTACTGAGTGTACAACACCAATTACTCCTTGTTTTTCTTCGTAGATAGTACACCTTCTCACTTCCTTTCGTAAAAAAATACAGATAATAAAACTTCTAACTAAAAAATTAAGTTAATAAAGCATTAATTAATTTAAAAATACAATAGGCAACTTTAAAAAGCGAACCACAAATGTTGTTCAATAAAACAAAGCAAGTCAGGATACATTGGCCCGTGTATGGCTCCACTCGTTCATAACTACCCGCTCGGTCTCCATCATTTTGTTGTTTTAAAATTTAAAAATTTTAACATAACTGGCATTGTGTCACTAATTAATTGATGCAGCATTGACTAATTTTTATACTCCAATAAGTGCAGCTGTTTACTAATCGTCATTTTAGGCAGTATATTAAATAGTGGAAATTAAAAAAGTGTGCTGTGATCGACTAAGAAACGCAAACAAGTCAGAACACATTAGCCACTGTCTGGCTCCACTCGTTCGTATAACCGGCCACTCTTCATTTTGCTGTTTTTAAAAACTGGCAGAATCCTTTTTAAAGAAGGTAAGACAGTTTAATTCCAAGAGAATACGTGAAGTTACAGATAAGATTTGTCATCAGATTCTCAGTTTGATAAAGAAAATATACATTTATATTTTCTAAAGTGGCCACCGAGAACACTTTGATGATATACAAACTGGCTTGCTTTTTGTTAGTTAAATTTGAGCGCTTTTGTGAACATGCAGTTTT